TATATATATATATATATATATATATATATACAGTAATGATTTTTTCGCAGTAAAATATTTAAAAAGTTCTTTAAACCATTTGGTTGTAAATAACTTTCAATTTTTATAATACAATCCTCCGTTTCTTTCCTAAAGTCGCAGGAAGCCATCGTAGTATGACAGGTATTGTATCGTTAGACGATGGCTTTTATAACTCCCGGTTTTGGTGAAGAGCTACTTTTGATTTGGCCATTGTATCGTGCCGGGTGGGCTGGTCTTCGGGCCATGCCAGTAGCTCAAACACCTTTTGCATGTTGAATACATATATTCTGTCCGACTATCATGTCTTCTTTTGTCTTCAGAGAAGTCGCGGGACGCTACAGTATTACCTTGGTTATTTGTACTTTCGCCGGGTGAACTGGCCTCTGGGCTATGCCAGTAGCCCCAAGCCCTACTATGTGCCAAATTTAAGCATTCAGTAAGTGTTATCTCTTCTTTCGTCCTCGGAGAAGTCTCCGGGCTCTACAACTGACATTCAGAAGGACCGGAAGGCTACAGACTTGACTCGGTGGCCTTACCACCGGGGGTAATGACAACCTGCGGAGGCTTAAACATCTGCCTTATGAAACATAGACCTAAACAAACCACCGAAGCACCACATAGCCCCACTTTTCTTTTAAGCGTCGTCCACGCATTTATCCCCCGCCCCTAGTCAACACCCCATAACGGCCATCACGCCGTAGTCGGTCCTTCAAAGAAATCACCCACAAATCAGCCACACCAGTCATCGAATTTAGATGCCACTGAGATTATACGTGACTCCAGCATCGCCAAAGTATCTTGACAATCCCAATGAGTCTAGAGTTTTGTCCTGTTTGGGAACTGGTTTGGGGAAAAGGGAATGAGCTGTCCTCATAGCGCTGGAGACTGGAGGATGCCCTACAACAAGGCCACCTCGTGTCCCCATCGCTACTCATAAGAGCACAATTTTAAAAGCAGGGTGATTTAACGGAAAGCGGATTGGAAATGTTTATAATGGGATAGTTTTTCGTCTACACATCCTTGCTGTTTCGTACTCACTTTAGCGTTGTCCAGCCATATATCTAACTGGGTTCTAACCAGCTAGTAGAGAGGTAGAGACGGTTTCGCGTGTTCATGACTATTGTCGCTTCAATTATTGATACCATTCCTGCAGAACATGAGTGCCAAAGGTAGGTTTCATTATCAACCTTTCTGTCAGGGGTTTTCACAGATTCTCTCATCAACGGCAGATGCCCATCCTCTGCCACACTAGAATTTAGCATTCAGCAGTATAAAGCAGGATAAATGATCTTCGGGATCGAGTTTGCTGGACCCTGCCCAAGCCTTTCCTGAAGGCGTAGAAATCTATTGCAGTATGACAGATAATGCATTACTGACGGAGAGAAGGACTGAGAGGCTACTGGCGTGACCCAGACGCCTTACCGCTAAGTGGAATGACTTTCTGGGAAGAGTTAGATGCCCGCGTGATCGAACGCAAAGTTGAACAAACTGTCAAAGCGTTACACTACTCTGTATGCATACATTTGCGATTTTGACAGCGTAAACATAGTTAAATTTACTACATTTTCGTGAAATGCGTACGACTCCAGTAGTAGGCGTGGCGTTTGTCAATTCATTCAGCCTATTTTAGGATAGAAGGTAGTAACTATATTTAGATTAACTTTGGATCACTAACTGCATATATGATCCAAAAACAAGAAAATGAATGCCAACCTTCGGCTACCAAAGTGAATATCCTCATAAGCCTCACAAAGTTGCGAGCGGGCGATACAAATGTCCTTCTTTTCCTGTGAATTTTAAATAACTTTTTCATAGACATCGTATCCATCCATCTCCAAAATCTGTAACACAGAGCACACTTTTGCTCATTTTTTCACTTAAGTTGGTGACCAACCAGGCATATTCACATGGCAAAGGGAAATGCCCATCACCTACTAGCTTGTGTAACTTTTGTTCTCACACGGGCGGTCGTCATGGTTTTGGATGACTATTGAAAAGAAACAAAGTGTGCATACTTAAAAATGGATTATAGAATCATGCACTTAAGCACATATTTTGGTGTCAAAATCTACCTTTTCATTCATTCTAACGCTTATGCGAGGTATGCATGCGATACTGGTAAAGCCATACTCTGTTGATGCATTCGTGCAAAATCTACCGGCTTTGGCAGGCGACTTTTGTAAACTTAAGCGCACGTGCACATATGCACGCACACTTACAAGCTGTCTCATTTGAAAATGGAGTGTGTGCGTGTGTGTGTGTTTGTTTACTCCCCGGCAAGTAATTGGTTAGCTCGTATGGCTTCCGTTTGCACACCATAGGTCGATATTTGCACTAACAGTCTCGAAGGTTGTGAAATGCATTTAGATGGGGTGCTTTTCTTACCTTCCATTTGACACTGGATTGCGATCCTGCTCTTACGCGCCTAAAAATAGTAAGTCATCCCTTTGATTCCATTTGTGAATGCAAATACTATGGGGTACGCAATTCAGCTTAAAAGTTTGACAGTGCACTAAATCCCAAATAAGTTACTGCTCCAGACTGCTTGATATTTTTTTCTCAAGCAGACAGTGGGTTTTTAGCCTCTGGATACATTAGCATTAGGACTAAAACTGCCCCTAAACTTAAAACTTCGGGGTACGACGTTTCCAATCGTTAAAACGCGTTCATAAAAAGCATACTAATACAATGCTTAACCACTCCAGTAAGGTCTTAGTTCTTGGATCCGATTAAGTACCTATAAATTGACAGTAAATTTCAAGCCAAAGCATGAGGTAATTATGGGTTCTTTGAAGTCATTTTGCATGGATGAAGTTGTTGTTGTTATTGTCAACGCACATCGGTATATTTTTATTCATTCATCCTACCTCGTGGAATTAGGGCAAATTATGGCAAAAGTGACACAAAATTAGGACATTTGTTATCACTACAAAACTAACCATTCACTAGTTTTTAAATATACCAGGTTTCTTGAAGGTATTTCTCTTTATTATGAGCACGGAATTATCGTTCTTGCAATTTTTCTCCTTCATTGCTGCCATACGATTTATTTTCAACCAAAAATCCAGAATAAATACAAAATTAGCATTTCACTACTGATGGTCAAGTGCTAACAAATTGTTTTCGTCTTACTATTATACATGGTCAAGTTTACTGTTACTAACATTTCATTCCATCGACCGTTGCTCTATAAGACCAGTCTGAAGGAGACCAGTACGCATTGGAAAGCGTATTTATTGTAATAGTTAGAACGGTTAGATCTTCCAATTTACCAAATATGTAGTAAGCACTGTTACCTGATTATTTATGGGAACACACCTAAGAACTTTTAAAAGTAGTTATAAATAAGTAAGTAAAGGAGAATACTCTTAATTATTTTTGCACATCCATATTAAGCACTTCAAAGGAATGGATGGACTTGGGAGCCTTCATGTCAAGCCGAATAAATTTCATGCGTTGTCAGTGTCTTCCTCTGTGTGTTTACAATTATTGTAATTTTCCCCTACATTACGATTTTTGGAAATATTGAAAGCAACTCATCAGTCTCCATGATCATCTACTTAATCAACTCACCTGTAACTAATAGAATTAGTAATAGCCATTTTAAAAACGAATTCCCGAACTTAAAAACTGATTTGATGTATAAGATTTGTGCTTAAAGGAAGTATGAAATGGTCATTTTGGCGCAGAAGATCCACTTTATCAGCCCTTCTTGGATAATTACAACAACTATAACGCATATTATTATTGGAAGTTCCCAATAAGTTGTCAAAAAACTTTTCATTTCAAATTGGATTCTCCCAAGTTTAAACCAAGCGCATATCCCTACTTTACAAAATTAAAAGGGATTACAAGTAGGTTATTTCCGTGTCGAAAGAGATGCAATCACAAATTAAGTGTATGCATCTCAAAACGAATGAATGATTGGGTGCTTAAGGCAAAAGAACAAAGACTAATGACACTGAAAAGGTGGTATTGATATTAAGTATCTCACTGTCTAGCAGTAAATGACGAAAGTGAACTGAGGCACTAAAAGATCGCAATACTATGTCACAGGTAAAATTTCTTCAAAGTTTAAACATTGTATATGAATTTCTTCACTAAACGACTACTGAAATAAACATTGTGGTGGGTTATTTTAATAGGCTTTCAAAAGCTGCTTTACCCTACCCCCCGTCTGCCTCCGGCTAGCAAAGATGAGTGAAGTGTGTGGTAGTCGGATTGCATCAGCAAAATCCTCATCCAATGGAAAAGAAGAGGAAAAAGAAAGCACGAGAAATCTTAAGAGGCCAGCCTCTACCGGTTCCGAAGATGCATCAAACAAGTAAGCCGCAACCAATTGCCCAGAAACACAATCATCCACTAGGCAGTAGGTGTGTAAAAGAATACGACATACTCTTGGCTCAGCAAATATAGCTTCCAAATCAATTGGTACTGACATTGAGTAAATACTTTCCCCTCAGCAAGATTTCCCTCTAAAATTGATCTATAATTCTGACAGTTTATTTTGTGAGCATGGTTGTTAAAATGAGTAGTGAATGGATAATTTTAATGAGTACAAGTCTAAATTGATTGACATGATATAAAAAACAAAAACTTGAAAGGTTGCGAGGTATTAATGCAATCAGTTTGTAACTTTACAAAGTGCAATAATGCCAAATACGCTAAATATAAGAATAAGCCTTTTAATCAAATTTCGACTGAGATTTAGTAAGGGGTCTTGTATATTAGGATGAGATTAAGAATTCAAGTGTAAAGTTAGCTAAACTTGGTTCTTTTTCCACTGCATCTTTAGTACAAGCCAGTGATGTGGGCAAAAATAAGGCATTGTGATTGGGCGATCACATTCCAGACCCTACTTTAAAACAGCATTAGAAATAAAAAAGATATATTGTTTAACATCCCATCTGCAATCTTTTAAGCAGGCTTGACAGGTATAGACATCTAGGGTCCAAAAGATAAGTCATCTACTAATGAAAGAATAGTCACTGCAAGTTTTAATGCAATCAATTGATGTAAAAACAAAAAAGTAGTCTTCTAGACATGAAGGAAAGGTATATCGTAAACACTAGTTTTTGTTTCAATCACTGATTACAGAGCTGCTTTATCAAATGAATTTACTTGATTTTGTATTAGTTGTGATGACTGAATGAAGAAGTATTTGTTCCACGAAATTTAAAGTTGAGTTGTATATAAACTAAAGCTAGACATCAATTTTGACAGTCGGATAGCATTGGATTGTGTTCCTACGAAAGATGTGTTTTCAATTATATTAGAGAGCGCCCGTTTAAGAACATTCTTCAGGCTAAATTAAGCGATGTATATACCCCAGCTTCGCTTGACGATTCCACGACATCTTTGCTATACTTGTAGGTTGTCTAAGGCAACCCCACTATCTACTTATTTGTTTTTATTTTGGCGTTTGTTGGATCAAAGTTAAGAGAATTGCCTTTTATAAAATGAAAAAAAGCTCAGTCTGTATCTTTCCCCTCCAGATAAAAAGTTTTATTTGGACGACGATTACATGATCTCACATATTCTTTTTGGTTTAGATGTTCATGTACATTGCAACCTCGATCTCGTTCTGCCGATGGTAATAACATACATAACACTTATTATATTTAATTAAGAAACGTAAGTTAATGCTAAATTAATTCCTATTGCATCCTTTACTATAAAACTACAATGACGTTGACCCCTCTTCTGACAAGCATTAAAGGATTTGAGGTAATTGAAATTCACTTTGAATAAGTACCGCATTGATTCGCTGTTTTAAGAAAGAATAAGACCTTCAAATTTATTATGTGAGAATTATATTTATAAACTGTACCTATTTAATACCTAGGATATTTGTTGCCAAGGCCGGGCAACCCAGTTGACACAGGAAGCATCCCAAATCAAACGGTATACAAACGACGAATTTTTTGATTATTCCTATGCAGAATATTAAGTTGGAAAGCGACTCATGTTAGGGCTAAATTGTATTTATTAATACCGTAGGTTACAAGCAACGATATAAATCGGAACTCACTAGGCGGCTGGCCCTCTACTAAAAAACCATCAGATATTGGCTACTTGCTCATTATAAAGGAGGAAATCATCTACCGCATCCCAATAATATTGGATATCACGCGTATAGATGAGACCAAACGGGATAAAAACGTAAGACTTGTAAATGGATTGCCCTTATATTAAATAAGTAATGATTTTGGGATGATATGATCAAAAGGGCTATTTTTTCCTGTTATATTTTGACAAAATTAAACTAATTTACTCCCAAAACTAAAATGGCAAACGTTAAATTTTTAGACGAAATTTCCCTACTTGAACCAAGTAAAGTTCGAACCTTTATTTTCATGATTGAAATTGTCCATTTTTAAACGTCAAACATGTACTTATAAACGCCATTTTATTCGAAAAATTAATAATAGTAAGGAGGCTGCTGTTATTATAATATTGAAGGTCGAAGTAAGTGCAAATGTAATTTCTTTAACACCCATCTTTTACTAACGAGTGAGCACATTTTATTTCATGCTACAACATGCATTTAAAATAACAAAATCCCACGTAAATAGGCATTTATATTTTATGTGTCTTGATGCAACCTCCGCAAAAAGGAAAGCATCCCAACCAAACTAAGGAATTTCCTTCTTCAAGGGGCATATATGGGAACTGTAAATATTAATCATGAGTTTTTTGTCATTTATGTGCAATTTTTTGAAACTATTGAGCTTAACAGAACAGTTTAATTAACTTAGCAGTTGTAACTCAATTTCTTGTAGTGGTACTCATTTTAACTCACATTTTAGTGTGTATAGTAGTAGTTGAAGCGTTAACTCATCGTAAAATGTTCAATTTTCGCATTTTCAATAAAATGATTGTATTCATGGGGTATAAACCATCATCCCTTAATAAGGATCCCCATGAAAGAAGTCTTTCCATTCCCGCGACGAATGAGAATGAAATTTGTGTAATGATGAAAACGTGCGCTGCCAAAAATCTGGAAGCTGCTCTGAAGGAGCACTTTCAACATTGCGATTGGGTCACAATTCTCGCGGCTTCCCCACTTCCTGATCAGGTTAGAAGAGGTGAGATCTGCTAGAAAATCTAACTATCATACTCGAAATTTGGTAAAGTCTACCCAGTCTGGTTACAATGACGTTGTTTCTAATGGGAAAATAAGAAGGATCATGTCGGATTGATAATTGCAAATTTTGTTCACACTTTTGCTTAAGCTGTCTTATTATCAGCATTGCACTTTATATATGAAAGTCTTGTGTAGTATGTTAGAAGATGGTCACGGTAAAATATAACTATATATTGGGCTAAATGTGGATTTGATATGCCTTCTAGCATCAATTACCTAATATTTCATATCAATGTGATAAATTGTTAAAATTAACGTGCTATTGATTCTTTTCACAAATGAATGTGAACTTCTTTTCGGATTTTGCATTTGTCTAAGCTTCCGCTTGGGTACCAGGATATCGGTGTTTCGCTCTAAGGTTTGATGGGTGATTTGAAGAATATCAGACAGCTTTATATCCCACCACTATAATTTCATCGGGATGACATCACTATTTAAGGGTTATGGTAGCGTCGATTTTGTGGTTTTAGGTCTTGTTGAACCTGATGTCAATGCCGAGAAACCGACAACAGCGAAAAGGCCACGTCCTACCCCGGATTGGCAAGTTCCCCTGAAAAAACAATTTCGTGTGCGTAAACATTATTTCAGTTCTGACAAATAATATCCTTGGCTTTGACTTGATTTATGTGTGATAGCAAAAAGAGTAACTTGTTTTGTTGCTGAATAAACTTAGGGAAGTGAAATCAAATATTATGTCTAGACTGAGAAAACGTGCCAGTGCAAATGGATATGCAGCCTATTCTAGTTTTAGCGACCACTGTTAAGTGCATGAAATCCAGGTTATAGCTAATAGTTAGCAAGATGTGCCAACCATATAGAAAAATATCATTATGCTCAAATGAAGTCATTACACGGGTTTTACGAAGATGCGCTGCTGGAAGTTGGATTATTAAAATAATTGCTTGATCACGAAGCACCTTATAACCAATTATAACCGTAATTTCTGCAAAATGTAGCCACAGGTACCATCGGTATCAGTGAGCAATGAGTGTTCAACCAAGGAACGTTGTAATAGTCAGCACTTGGAAGGTATGTAATTTGAAAAGTATCAATTAATATTTCTTTCTTTATTGGTTCTCCTATCTTAAAACTTATGTAAAAATGAAAAATCACTGTCATTATATTATCATCAATTTATATAAACAGGATTTATAAACAGAATGAAATAATATTGCTTATAAGGCAATGAATTTACATTTTCAGACAACAATTGTTTTATATAATTTCAATCTGATGCAATTAAGTACTCATTCATAACTCTAAATTTCCAAAAAGTCGATATTAAACTAATAAAAACCAAACTTATTTAAAACAACGAAAGTTTAGTGAAGTCAGTGCCATTCGATTTTCTGAACCTATAAATTATAAAGTAATTATTTTATAAATTAAAAATGAAGGACTTACCGAAAGCCTGATACTATCGGGGAGCAAAGTGAATAATTAATGAATTCAAGTCCACTGCAAACTAACAGCAATTTTACATTGGGTAGTGGCGCAAAGCCCTCAATGTGACTCAAGTATTCCACTTTGCAGCGATATTTTATTCTACTCGGCCTGACAAGATTAACAGCTTAGTAATTGTTGTCAAAGGGCCTATCCCTTAGGCCTTGTAAAATATTTCGTTAATGTGACATTAACCGTTATCTTGGCCAAAGTGTGTTGCAGAAGACAGAATAGCTAAACTATACCCTAAACTATACCTAAAAATAATAGATAAATGAGAAAATCGACTAGAATTTTGCATGTTTCTGCTCATTTCTGCTAACATTTACAGACTAAACTAGAGGTTTTCTGCTTTGAAACTCAAATTAGTGTATATTTTTGCTCTTTTTGATGACTTTATGATATTAAGCTTTCATAAAAAATTTGAGGTTTTGAGCCTTTTTTTTAAATACACCACAAATTTATAAAATTAGTGAAAATACCTAACAATCGTGTTCTTACAGCCGTTGCAAATTCTAGGAGACTTGTGTGCAAACATAGATTTTTTGGTGCTTTTTATCAATGTGTTACCTATGAGGCTTGAATAAGATAAAGTACCTTTTATCGTCACTGGGATGATATTTGTTAGTATTAAATCCTACCAAAAATGCCTTTTTTAATGCAATTGTCTGCTTATTTAACAGTACAGCCTGCTCCAAACTCAATTCACGGAGGTATGGCCACTCAAGGACATCGGTTTCAATGTACCTCATCTGCCCGACAGAATTCGCTCTGCGCAATGGCTGCTTTTGCCAAAGTGGACGAAGTCTTGGCGGTGCAGGTGATCAGTTTGCTTCTAAGCCATTCAATCGAGAGTATTGAATGGACAACACGCATTAAAATCTCGTAATCTTTACTAACTCAATTCGTAATTGAGGCGGAAACCAGGATGAATAAATTATTTTATGCAGTTAATTTTCCCTTTTGAAAGAAATCTCGGGCGGAGAAGAGCTCGTCACCTGCCGGAATCCAAAGAAAACCAACTCAGGAAACTACAGTTGCCCACGTCCAAATTAAACAGGCCCAAAATGTCCAGCCACTGCGTAATCCTTCTACAGCATTGGATCGCACTACACTGAATAATCGTGATCAGCTCAGGAATCCCACATCTGAGTCGCAAACTACTCATAACAGATCAATGCCTGTGTTTGTCCGCACCCTGCAAGTCGAATACCGTTTTACTAGTCAAACTCAAAATGCAATTTTCTTTGACTTCAATATCCTTAAACTTAATTCAGCAATTCAGTTGTTTTGCCAGCTCAAACTACACAAAAGCTATGTGTTCAGCCTCAGTATCAAATTTAGGGTCTAAAATTTAAATCAACTTTTACTTTTTGCCTACCATCGCCTTATTTTGAGGCATAGGTTATAAAAACTTCCGTGATAGAACTCATAAAATAAGTGTGCCTAAGGCATCTGACTCCCTTGTTTCATTTTTGTGCTTGCGTGATAACGTACACTCTCAGCAGCCTATAACTGGTTCATTTTGCCGAAGTAAATATGACGCTATTCTTAAGCTACACACGCCATCCAAAATCTGTTACATTATCGTAGTATCAATTAAGAAAGTTGACACTGACAAGAGTGACAGCCACAAGTTTTGCACTAGTAGTCTAATTTACCTTTCGGCGTCTAATTTACGGAGGAACTTTCTCTGTTACACTTTGTGATTTCCACTGAAATTTGGTTTTTTTTCTTCTACTATTTCAAATTATTACTTCAGCTTCAGTTTAAGTTGGAAGTAAAATAAGGAATCATTATCTCCTTCTGCGGAAAAAAGTAATAACAAAAATAACATTTTAGCTATGTTTCCTGTTAAAAACATAGTTGAAAATCAAGTATAAATTCATCGATTAAAGAGGCAGGTTGTAAAGGGTTAGTTTTACCCGATTTCTGCATGATTTGATAGCATACGCTTACCTCTTAACCACTGCACTTACTTTTGATCGCTACTAGAAATCAGCCAACCACAGGTCTGGCTACGGCGGCCGGCAACTTTGCGCCAGTCCAATCACGACCACAGCGCCCGCTGTTCTCCAATGGGGGAGCTGTCGTACGTCACCTTACTCCCCTCTACCCCATACACAACCTCTCCTCTGTTGCGTGCATTTCTAATCTGGCGGTTCAGCAGCCGCAGCAGCAACAACAGCAACAACAGCAGCAGCAAACCAGTGGCTCACCCTCTCAATTCGCAATTCGTTCTGCCGTTGTTTGTGGGAACTGCCAGTTCATTCCACAGTATGTGACGATAAGTTCAAATCAGGTCAGCCATTACTTCATTCGTTACGGTATTTAAAGTTTTTTACCCAAAGCAAAATCCAATAAGCACCTTCGCTTAGGCCATTTTTATCTTTTTAATCAAAACGTTGCCATCAGCGAAGTGACTTTTAGAGATTTTATTTCCTAAGAGGAGTAAGAAGTACAGAAAGCATGAACTGAACTTATATGAATAATAAAGACCTAATGCAACTGCTTTAGGACATTCCCATGGATCTGTCGGTCAAAGTGCCATTGAAAAAAGTGCCGCATACTACATCGGGGCTGCATAATGTCTACGAATCACCGGACATTCGTGTCACGGAATCAAATGGCTACGAAGAAGGTTAATTAGGATACTGTTAATATTAAAATTTCATTAATATGCAGTCTATTCTATAGTAGCTGTTAGTGAACGTGTTTAGTGATTGATGCAATAACGTCAATGAACAGACGCAAGTTTTATTGACGCTTATTTCAAACACAAAAAGCCGAAGATACTGAACTTTGAAAAGCATGGCTACTTATGGTACTTTACACTAATTATAAAGCTGAACTATCCTTCACTTGCACCACCGCAAATATTCCTAAGATAAACTTTTACCTGGGTTATTATAATGCTAACTGATAAGTCCACGTAAATTGGCCACTCATCACAGTAGATTTTAATTAAGGATGAAAAACTTGGCATATTTTTCAAATTATGTTTTGGACTTAAACCACTTGCTCGGTAATGTTGTTCTCATGTCGTCTAAAGAACATAAGGCTTTAACAATTTATTTGAGCTAAGCAATGATTCTTATATAATGTGCTCTACAAGTTTCAATTTATTGTAATCGCATTGTCTTTTCTACCTATTTATAATATTTGTCTCAATTGAGATGCAATATGGTTGGCTAATCTCCTAAGAATTCGATAAAAAGCTTTAATTTTTATTAATTGTGTTCTGTGATCATTCCCGGTTGATAGCTTGTCATTATCATCTATAAATGTTTGCCGGCAACTACGGAGGCAGCAAAATTCTCTCACTAGACCCTTATAGCGAACCATGTTTAATGCTTTCTCTATTCAGCAGTGGGCTTGGATTTTGTGTTGTTCATAAGTATTGATATTTTTGCATTTAAAACGCGAAACATGTTCTGGTAGCACGTAATTGTTTATATGCATTTTCACCGCGGAAATATTATGCAAATGAGGTATTTTAAACGAGTTGGACAAAACTAAAGAGCTACATGAATTATTGGGGCTTTATCAAACTGATAATTGATGATCTATCTTTCCTGTCTATACATTTTATTTCCCTCTGGGAAGACATGATTGCCACTCTATGAAAGGTTAAATTAGCTTAAAGTCTCAATAAAATGCATTTTCCATTTATTCTCTTTGGAATTTTTCGGTATTCCAGGTGTCGTGATAAATTTGGCGAAACCGAAACGGCATAAAACAAACGACACTCCTCTGGAACCCTCAACGTCGGAGGGAATTCGACCTACGGCACTTGAGACTAACAGCGAATCGCGGTGGAAGTGCTTTCTCTGTAACCTGGACTTTGAGATGGAATGGTGGTTGCAGAAGCACTACCGAGGCCATAAGCATGTTTGCAAACTCCTTGAGAGTGTTGGAGGCTCAGAGGCTCTCCAGAAGCGAATAAAGTGCCGTGAAATAAACTCAGAGACGCTGATAAATGAAAAGACAGGAAAACTTTTGCTTCATGTCATCAATCGTTTGATTAATAACAATAACAGCAACAATCGAGTATCTAGCAACTGACAAGACTTTCGTTGTTACCTGTATTAAAGAGTCGTCTATTCACCCTTTTTCAAGTTAATTATTGTACAATAGATGTTTTTTTTATTTTTTACATTTGTTAAAAGTCGAAATAAACCGAATGAATGTCTTAGCAACTGATAATAAAAACATTCTACAGTTGCCATTTGTAAACTTTTATTTTGTTTTAGCGTTCTGTTAAGCAAATTATTGCCAAATTTCCGCC